ATCAAAAAACAAACTATTTTGATTATTGTAAATTTTGTGTAACTACTTCAGTTATTATGGGTTGATTATGTTTTGGTGGTGAAGATCAAAAAACAAACTATTTTGATTATTGTAACTTTTGTGTAATTACTTCAGTAGTTTTAATGTTATTTTAGTTAGTTTTATTGTTATATCTATTTGTGTTGTGGTGTAACTACTTTAATTAGCTTGTGTATCCGAAATCGAGTGTTCTGTCGCGGAGAAAAAAACTGAAAAAAACCGAAATCGAGTGTTCCGTCGCGGAGAAAAAAACCCGAAATCGAGTATTCTGAGCTCCGAGTCGTCGCGAACCATTTCAGTTTTTTTCCCCGCGGCGAGAACACTCGGCGACTGACGCGTCGTCATAATAGGCCGATCATCCGCCGTGTCGGCCGGTCCTCGCCAAATTTGGAAGCTTCAGGCAAAGTATAGCACCTTATTGCAAAGTATAGCACCTTATGGCCAAAGTATAGCACCTTATTGCAAAGTATAGCACCTTATGGCCAAAGTATAGCACCTTATAGCCAAAGTATAGCACCTTACGCTCTCTGGAAATTCTGAGCTTCGAGTCCTCGCGACCATTTCAGTTTTTTTCCGCGCGACGAGAACACTCGGCGACCGACGCGTTGTCGTAATAGGCCGATCATCCGCCGCGTCGGCCGGTCCTCGCCCAATTTCGAAGCTTCAGGCAAAGTATACCTTCTTATTGCAAAGTATAGCACCTTATGGCCAAAGTATAGCACCTTATGGCCAAAGTATAGCACCTTATGGCCAAAGTATAGCACCTTATGGCCAAAGTATAGCACCTTATGGCCAAAGTATAGCACCTTACGCTCTCTGGAAATTCTGAGCTCCGAGTCGTCGCGACCATTTCAGTTTTTTTCCACGCGACGAGAACACTCGGCGACCGACGCGTCGTCGTAATAGGCCGATCATCCGCCGCGTCGGCCGGTCCTTGCCCAATTTCGAAGCTTCAGGCAAAGTATAGCACCTTATTGCAAAGTACAGCACCTTATGGCCAAAGTATAGCACCTTGTTGCAAAGTATAGAACCTTATGGCCAAAGTATAGCACCTTATTTGCAAAGTATAGCACCTTACGCTCTCTGGAAATTCTGAGCTCCGAGTCGTCGCGACCATTTCAGTTTTTTTCCGCGCGACGAGAACACTCGGCGACCGACGCGTCGTCGTAATAGGCCGATCATCCGCCGCGTCGGCCGGTCCTCGCCCAATTTCGAAGCTTCAGACAAAGTATAGCACCTTATTGCAAAGTATAGCACCTTATGGCCAAAATATAGCACCTTATTGCAAAGTATAGCACCTTATGGCCAAAATATAGCACCTTATGGCCAAAATATAGCACCTTATTGCAAAGTATAGCACCTTATGACAAAAGTATAGCACCTTATGGCCAAAGTATAGCACCTTACGCGACGACTCGGAGCTCAGAATTTCCAGAGAGCGTAAGGTGCTATACTTTGGCCATAAGGTGCTATACTTTGGACATAAGGTGTATACTTTGGCCATAAGGTGCTATACTTTACAACAAGGTGCTATACTTTGGCCATAAGGTGCTATACTTTGCAATAAGGTGCTATACTTTGCCTGAAGCTTCGAAATTGGGCGAGGACCGGACGACGCGGCGGATGATCGGCCTATTACGACGACGCGTCGGTCGCCGAGTGTTCTCGTCGCGCGGAAAAAAACTGAAATGGTCGCGACGACTCGGAGCTCAGAATTTCCAGAGAGCGTAAGGTGCTATACTTTGCAAATAAGGTGCTATACTTTGGCCATAAGGTGCTATACTTTGCAATAAGGTGCTATACTTTACCTGAAGCTTCGAAATTGGGCGAGGACCGGCCGACGCGGCGGATGATCGGCCTATTACGACAACGCGTCGGTCGCCGAGTGTTCTCGTCGCGCGGAAAAAAACTGAAATGGTCGCGACGACTCGGAGCTCAGAATTTCCAGAGAGTGTAAGGTGCTATACTTTGGCCATACGGTGCTATACTTTGGTCATAAGGTGCTATACTTTGCAATAAGGTGCTATACTTTGGCCATAAGGTGCTATACTTTGCAATAAGGTGCTATACTTTGACTGAAGCTTCGAAATTGGTCGAGGACCGGCCGACGTGGCGGATGATTGGCCTATTACGACGACGCGTCGGTCGCCGAGTGTTCTCGTCGCGCGGAAAAAAACTGAAATGGTCGCGACGACTCGGAGCTCAGAATTTCCAGAGAGCGTAAGGTGCTATACTTTGCAAATAAGGTGCTATACTTTGGCCATAAGGTGCTATACTTTGCAATAAGGTGCTATACTTTGCCTGAAGCTTCGAAATTGGGCGAGGACCGGCCGACGCGGCGGATGATCGGCCTATTACGACGACGCTGTTAGACCCTAGAGGGGGGGTGATTAGGGTCTTATGCTAATCTAATCCGATTAAATGCCAATTAAAAATAATTAACAACTATATTCTTGCAAGATAGGTATACAATCTATTATGGGCAAGAATATGCAATATACACAAAGTGATATATCCTATATGATGAAATATATATGCAAGGATATATAAACTAAGGGTGATATAAACATAAACAAGATAAACAAGATAGTGGACAATGTGAGCAAAAGATAATGGCGACGAGAATGATATGAACAATAAGCACAAGTGAGACGCCAAGACAATCACAAACACACAAAGATGACCACGGAGTTCGGACCTTCCGTCCTACGTCTCCGCTCCCCACTCCCGGGGAGAAATCCACTATCAACCGGGTTTTCTACGTTCACCCGAACAACGTTTACACCTCACACTCGGTTTTCTAGCTAACCGAAAACTTTACAATCAACACACTATTGTAATCCCACTCTACACCCACTAAGTGTTGGACCTAGCCGTGTCTCCCTCAAGTGCTCGGTTACAACCTCTCCCTAGGCACGTCAACCGACGCCACTCCTCTTGGGACGATCCCCGACTCTCACCACACACTCCTCACTCGGTGTACAAGTGTATTACAAAGTGAATCTCACAATAAGCACAATATAACAAATGATTGTTCTCAACTATGGATGAGAACACAATTAAGCACAACTCAAAGTTACAAACTCTCACCACCCAACTATACTATGTATGTAAATACTAAAAGCTCAATGTGGGTGTGTGTAACAATGAGTAAAATAAAATCTAACTCAAATAGCAAACTAGCAATAATTAATATATGATAAATCAATAATGAAATTGCTAGGGAAAAGAGTTAGAAAACTTCTCTATAAACACAAAGAGAGGATGAGAAGATTTTGAGGATGAAATCCTCAACTGGTGATGCAAACTCCTCTTTGTAACAGCAAACCCCAAAAACAAACTAAACAAACTCAAACCCTTGTTTAAAACTTTCTTAAACTTGTTTTTAAAACTCTCTTAATCAGTTTGAAAAGACATCAGCAATGGGGTATATATACCCACTAGAAATCTCAGCAAAAACCCCCAAAACAAAATGACCAAAAAGTCCAAAACAGAAGTTCTGCAACGGCTAGAAAAATAGCCGTTGGGAGACCTGACAACGATTCGGTCGACCGAAAAAATGATTCGGTCGACCGACCCGAAAATCCGGTCGACCGCGAACAACCTTGAAAATCCAGAAAACAAGCGGAGCCATCATCGGTCGACCGGCGCGGTCGACCGATATAGAAATCGAAATTTCGGTCGACCGTACCGGTCGACCGACGACTCTCTGGAAAACTACTGAGAAATGATCATTTGACCGGTCGACCGTACCGGTCGACCGAAAACTGACATCCCAGAAAAACAAAGCTGATTTTAAAACACTGTTTAAAAATATCAAATAAATTCCAAAAAATGTAAAACTTTGGGGAATGATTGTAGACATGATAATAAACATGCTACAATGACTGGTTATCAAAAAGGACTTCCCAAATGAAAAATATCATCATTTTACAAACTAGTCCAAAACATGAAAATATGAGATACTTGAATTTTGATGTTTTGACATAAACCAACTTTTGAAACTTTGTGAAATGTTTTTGTAGACTTAGTAAAACATGTATAAACTGATATTGAAGTCTATAAACTAAGAATACAATATTTTCACAAAATTGCATATTCTATGCAATGTTTTCAAAAACATAATAGAAAATATGAAATATAGAATTTCATATATATAACCATAAAAACTCAAAACATATGTATGTATATATATAACTATATATATGCATAGAAACCAAAACTTATACATATATATATGACTATATATATATATATATACGAAGAAACCAATAAATGTGTGTGTATAGATAATTGAGCTTAGAGTATATAACACACATAATATAAATCCTAAACTAAATTACCCAAGCTAGATCTTGATCTTCAATAAGCTCTTCTAGGTAATCTCGCGGATGAAGCTTTAACTTGGATCTTGAACTTTGAATAGCAAGGCTTCACCGACATTCCGCCAACCTCCTTTGGATATGATCGTTGAAGCTCTATTCCATCCATCCTCCAACTACGTTGTTTGTCTACAATATATAAGAATGTACAAACACTAGACAAACAACATTAGTAATAAATTGTTTGTTAAACATCATCAAAACAAGAAGGCCAACAATCTCCCCCTTTTTGATGATGACAAACAATTTACAAAAAGAAACATATGCATGAAGTAAATGACTATATAAGTTATAATTCACATGCATATAAACAAGAAGGAATATACATATACTCACAATATTTCTCCCCCTTTGACAACATCAAAAAGGGGACAAAAAGAATAAGAGAGCGAAAGCTCCCCCTATCAATAAGCATAGGTGAGTATAAAACAAATATAGGGAATAGCTCCCCCTATCAAAAAGCCATAAGAAATATGCAATAAAGATCAAGGCAAAACATGTGAGCAAGCATACATGAATATGCTAAATATCACTCACATACATACTGGCCGGAGTAGCGTGACCCACTCTTATTACGAGGGGATCCCGTTAATTGAATTCTCTCCCCAGTTTAAATCTGATTATAACGGAAGTGATAGTGAATTAATCCAGCGAGGTAGTTGTCGTGTTCTACGACGATTAATCACAGATGCGCCCTTGATCTCGGAGCAAGACTCGAATCAATGCATAAGGAAGCCAGATTTCTTATTTGGTGACTCGGTAAAAGATCCGAAGATTGCTTTCTGCCAGCCTGCGCAATGGTTGCACCAGAGTGGATCATCATTCTTATATCTGCCTTTTATCCCTCGGGATCATTCACTGTTAATGTTCAGGAACCTATCAGTTGGACGAGAGATGTTCTGGAAATTAACCGAAAACCACGAGCACATTCATTGTGGTTTCATTGGAAAGGAAGCAACTCCAGGTTCCAGTGAAAGAGCTCATGTGAGAGGACTTCATCCGGGTGTCTTAGGACAAGACAATATTCCTCAGAACGAAAAGATAGTGCAAGCCAACACTGTGAAGAACCGGTTAGCGGCAGCAGGAAAAAGATTGCCCAGAGAGACTTTCAGGTGTTATGGATGGGTCCATTATTCTGGGAACAAGTGGTGGTGGACCAGGATGACCCAATATGTGTTGAAACGTTTTGGGCGAGAATTAGCAGGATTAGGGTTGGATGTCCCGATTCGTGCCACCATGCATGGCTTGCAGAGCAGTGTAAGTCATTTCCTTTGTTTGTTCGAGATCTACAACCCGGACACCAATACATTCTTTACCAAGAACGGGGAACTTGGACTACCACTGCATGAAATGATGCAAGTGTCTGCTTTGCCTATGGGCGATGTCCCATATCAAGAGTTCTTTCCGACCACCAATCAGCTGATTAAGATGAAAGATAGCTCGACTGCGACCTATGACACTCTATGGGAATTGACCTGTCATTATCATATAGCCATGGCCGAGATGGAGCCCAAAGCCAGAAAGAAGTCTCCTCAAGTCAGTTTAAAACAATTCGCTGATTATCTCTTCAAGAATCTGGATGTCCGTTCGGCAGATGTGTGCGGATTGTCTCCCTTGAGTACGGATGAAATTAACCGTTTGTTAGAGAAAACCAACGCGCATTCTTATACTTCGCGCTCAGAAGATGGATTTTTGCACGGCACTAAGTTCCGCTCTTATCTGTGGCAAGCTGGTGTTCCGATTAGCCCTACTGCTCTGCTGGCGGGTTTTCTAGCCTTATGGTTAAAGAGATGTGTAGTTCCCCATCAATCCGCAGATGCGATGCCAATGGAAGTGTTGTATCCGGCCGTCCAGCTGGCTACAGGTCGCAAATTATCTTTGCTTCCCGCTATGGTGGCCGATATTCATAGTGGATTGCGGCAACTAATCTCCGCATTTACCCAGGAGAAAAAGAAACCTTCCGCCAGCCTGTCCGTTCCGAAGCTGGAGCTGCCCTATACTTACTTAATGGCCTGGTTGGTACTTCATCGACCAGATTTAATGGAGGCTCCTGATACGGTAGATCTCAGTGTCCCTCTGTTGCAAAATCTCGAGAATTGCAAATGGAGCAAACATCGAGAGCCGGACATAACGAGGCAGTTTAAAATTCACAAATGTTGGGAATTTTTTCCTTGCTTCCCTCAGTTCTCCGGTACTTACAACACTACCTTAGTGGATGCTGAAGACCCAAGGCAGAATCGTACCATCTTGGATGTCGGGTGCTTCAGATGGTTGATGAATATTCGACCTGGATATCTGTTGTTCAGGATAAGGGATGTTTGCCACATCGAACCCTATCTTCCATGTCGATTCGCCCGTCAGTTCGGGTATGATCAGATATACATCGGCAACCCGAATCGTCACCTCAGCTTTCGAGGTGGACTTATCGACGGGGCGAGAGCTTGGTTTTGGAGCATTGCCGGCTGCACCAATGTTGAATTTGATCTCCCCTTAGAGACGCCGCCTCTACGGATGACTTTCCTCTTTTGCAAATGGCTGATAGCCACCAATATTGCCACTCGACGTAGGAGGATATCAGACTCAGAGGAGGAAATAGCTCCACGACAAGCAACAGAACCGCCTCGTGAAGCTGTGATGTCGCCTCGAGGAAAAGAGGCTGCTGAATCATCAAGGAAAGGAAAGGAACCGGCTCTCCCAGTTGATAGTGAAGAGGAGTTTGATAGTGAAGCAACCGAAACTTCAGAAGGGGAAGACGAGAATGAATCAAGTTCTGAGGAAGTATCTGGCCTTCCCGATTCATTCTTTGATAGAGGACTTGTAAGGCCTTCTGTCGCTCCGACCCAACCACAAGCTGCTCCAAAGAAACGTAAGGAAAGAGTCGTCATGGAACATCCTAACCGGATGACGGTAGAAGTTCTTAGTTGCGACGAAGAGGATGAAGAGGATATGGTGCCTCTCATTCGTCGGCAAATATCTCGAACTTCTACTCAAGCTCAAACTCAAGTTTCTCCCCGAGCTGAGTTACGCACCAAACATCGTCATGAAGGTTCTGGTGCACGCCCTCTGAAGAAACAGAAGAAAGCTGTTTCTAAACCGCGCGTTCATCTTCCTGCTGTAGAAGAGACATCCGGTCGTAGTGTTTCTTCTGATGAACAAGGTAGCGATTTGTTTTTATAGCTTTTACACTTTTTTGATGTTCAAACTTATTTCATGTTCAACTTCTGCAGGGAGTCGAGAGGAAGGAGAATTGCCAGCTGATGCTGCTTCTCCCGGAGGTATGGAAATTGAGGAAACAAGCTTCGTCCAACAAATGCATGATGCTCTGAAGGAAGGATCGGCTGATGTTCCACCCACTCCTGACGTTGATCCATCAGCTGCGGACACAGGTACTGATCTTTCTCCTCTCGGAAGAGAAATCCGAGAAATGAATGAGTCGGACCGTGTGCCTCCTCTAATGACCTGTGCGCTTTCTCTCCTTTTAGTCAAATTAAAAGAAGCAGGTACCAGTAGTGGAGCTCTCGAATCAGCCCCGACCAACGAAGGTAAAATTAATTGTCTTTTTGAGCAAATTCGTCTAAATTTATGTGTCATTTACGACTCAACACATTTTGTAGATGTCACAATGCACGAATCTGTTGGAGGAGAGACCACGCATACAACAGAGGTCGAGGAATTCAATGAACATCACCTCGATTTCAATCTCTCTGAAGGCGACCATGAGTATATCTCCGACTTATTATCGGGGAAAACTCCTGGTGCAGCCACGGAATCCAGTGTTGGAGTCGGTTCAACAGAAGCAGGTCCTTCTGAAAGTAAGACCTTTATTCTGTAAACTCCATATATGCATACATATATATTTTAACTTGATTAACCATATAAGTATTTGAATTATAGGACCAGTTACTGGAACTGATACTACTATCATCACCGAAACATCTGAACAACCGGAGGGTAGTGAACTCGTGCCATGGGCAGGAACTGAGGTTGATTTGCAATCATCAGTTCTTGAACCTCAACCTTCTACTCCTATGGACCCCATGATGATAGAAGTCACTGTCACTCCCCAGATTAGTCCAGTTGCAACAAAAGCGAGACCAACTGAAGAAGTTGGTACATCGGCCGATGTTGTGACTAGAATTGGTGAGTTTCATTTATCGTTTGTTTCAAGCTCGGATTATCATTATGCTCATTGTAATCCTCCTGTTTGTAGAATCTCCTCTTAAAGAGTCTCTTAGTTTGGACCCGCCGTCCTCTGAGACTTTAGTTGAAAAAGTCCCTGATGTAGCGGGTGCATCAACAGCTACCATTCCTGAACCAATCTTGACTGTTCAGGAATCCAGATTATCATCCTTGAGCGAACCAAGTCATGCTGAAGGTTCTTCCGTCGAATTTGGTATGCTTTAGTTTGTTGTCTTGTATGCATATATATATACTGTACTGACTTATTTGACTTTCTCGCAGTTCCTTCATCATTATCAACTCAAATCCAAGCGTTATTGGTTGATGACGATCCGGACAAGTCTGTTATCTGCTCTAATCTCCAAGGCTTCATCTCCTTTTTGAACTCTATGGTCGATCGCATTCTCTTCAAAAGATCGTATTTTGAGAATTATAAAAAATCTTTTGAGCGTTTTATATCAGGGTTCAGAGAGGAAGGGTATAACGACTTAGCCGATTCAGTCACCGCTTATTTGGTTGATTTGAGGCAACATATTGAACTTCTGCAAACTCTTCGCACCAAAGGCGTACCTTTTTACATCGCTTCTCATATGGAATCCAGGCTGCAAGCGTGGCGTGATTCTCAAGAATCTGCCAACTCCGAACTCCAACAGTTAAGAGCCCACAGTCATCAGCTTAGGGTGAATATTGGCAAAAGGACACAAGCCAAGGTCAACCTACGCCGAGATATAAAATCGAGTCGAGCGGAAATAGCTCGCTTAGAGGAGGAACTTGCAATGGCCAAGGATGCTCTTGATGTCTTGGAGTCTGAGTTGACGCAGGAAATTCATGTTGAGGAAGACCTGTTACAGCAACTGAACTTTCAAGATAAAATAATTGCTGAAAAGGAACAAGAGGTCGCCGCGCTTCAAAGTGTTGATGAAGAAGCTTTCAAAATTAAATTGACGGCTGAGCTTGAACAGACTTATGCGTTAGAGCTGTCAAAACTTGAAAATCAAATTAGTCAATATAAACTCTTGTAATCGGAGAACATTATATTTTTGTTTGTAGCTTTGTTTGAAAATTCTTGGTCAATATAGTGAACCTTTTTGCTCATTATATTGAATCTTTTTGCTCATTGAGGTTTTTTATTATGATTACTCATTCTTATTTAGAATAAATAACCATAATACTTATAGGATTTTTGGCAAATCCTCAGCCATCAACGGATTTGATATACCTTTACCGATTACCGTTTGAATCGGGCTAGTATGTGAATTATCTAAGTCCGTTTCACATATAACGTTGCGCTAAAAGAATTAAACTCTTTTAGACTTTGAACTACACTGTTGAATATGTAGGCTACATGTGTTAGATGTAGGCTTATCTCTAATAAGGGATAGAGATAACATCCCCCATGTGTGAACAACATGGATTTCAAAGTGTGAATAGGTTGCATTTCCTATATAGGACAACGAACCCAAAATCGGAGAGAAAAAGAATTGTATATTCCATTTCTCAATCTCTTGTTTGTTGGTAGAGATAAACCCATACTCGGAGAGGAAGAATTTTATATTCTATCTCCTGGTCTCTTGTTTGTTGGTAGAGATGAACCCAGAATCGGAGAGGAAGAATTTTATATTCTATCTCCTGGTCTCTTGTTTGTTGGTAGAGATAAACCCAGAATCGGAGAGGGAGAATTTTATATTCTATCTCCTGATGAAAAGGAAACTCACAGTGGAATCTCCACTTAGAGAAAATAGGTTGGTTTGAATAACCCTAACTGTCATAAGGTTTGATTACTCAATTCAAAAGTAAACCTTTCGTTCGCAAAAATGAATCGAAAGGAGATTTTGGTTGTGGTCCTAACTGTAGTAAGGTTTGACCAAGTGGGAATTTTGAGACGATCCTAACTGTAGGAAGGTTTGATCGCTCAATTTGTGGACCTCTCGTTCATGGAACGAATCGAGAGGGGATTTTGGCTTTGGTCCTAACTGTTTAAAGGTTTGACCAAGTGAGGAATAGGAGTAGGGTGCAAATAACAATGAGTTTGTTGATTTGCACAAACTAATCGGTGGGAAATTTTGATTTTAAACATAAGAATTTGACACGAAATAATCTGTCGACTGATACATACTGATGATCGTTGATCAATCCGACCGATGGGGGTTTCATAGCGTGAGATTACAAATCATCAAATCTCATCTTCCATGATTATATTACAAGGTTTTGCTGAGGAAAGATTAACTATCATTAAATCTCATCTCAACAAAAGTTGTAAAAGAACAATGAATTATTCAAATGACCAGCTTCTCATTTAAAATAGTGAACTGATCTCGGGTTATCCTGAAATATCCTATATAGGATTCTCTAGGAACTTCCCGCTTTACACAGGTTATCCTGAATATATTACGGATAATATTTTTTCAGGAACTTCCCATTTATTGGCATCATCAATTTGTTGCCATCTTGGGTAACCAGGCGATATGCACCGTTCGAATAGACTGTTTCTATCACAAACGGTCCTTCCCATTTAGGTTCAAATTTGCCTTTCTTCTTAGAAGTGAGAATCATAGGTCTTCGAACGGCGAGAACTAGATCTCCTTCTTTAAAGCTTCGTCGTCGGACCTTTTTATCGAAAGCCCGAGAAATTCTAGCTTGATAAAACTCGATTTGTTGTTGAGCTTCCAAGCGTTTCTCATCTAACATCTCTAATTCCTCGAGACGTTTCTGATGATGTTCTTCCGTCGTCATTCCCGTTACGAGAGCGATACGGAGAGAAGGAATCTGCACTTCCAATGGAAGAACGGCTTCACACCCATACGTTAAAGCATACGGGGTGGCTCCGGTAGGCGTGCGGACGGTCGTACGATAAGCCCAGAGAGCTTCGCCGAGTTTGTCATCCCAATCTCGCTTATTGGTTTTCACCAATTTTGCCAGGATTTTGATGATAGTCTTGTTAAAAGCTTCGGCCAATCCGTTAGCTGTAGGATTATAAGCAGTCGACGAAACGTCTTTAATCCCGAATTTACCGCAGAACTTGATGAATGCGTTGCTCACGAACTGAGGACCGTTGTCGTGCACTATTCGCCTTGGCACACCGTACCGATATATGATATGGTGTTTGATAAATTTGATGACATTGGTCGTCTTTACTTCTCTAAGTGGAACTGCTTCTGCCCATTTCGAGAAATAATCGGTGATTGCCAGAATGAAACGGTCCCCTTTAACCGAAGGTGGAAAAATAGGACCTACTATATCCATTCCCCAAGTTTCAAACGGCCACGATGTCGCCGAAGGATGCAGATATTCAGGGGGTATGTGCATATAATTTGCATGCAATTGACACACTACACATTGTCGTGCGTAATCGACTGCGTCTTTCACCATAGTTGGCCAATAATATCCGATTCTCCTAAGTCGGTCGCAGAGTTTAGGACCGGGCTGATGTGCACCGCATATCCCATTATGTGCCTCTTTGAGTGCTTGTTCCGCTTCTTTACTGGATAGACAACGAAGTAAAAGACCATCATAAGCTCGTCGATACAACGTTTGCGATGTGGCATTGTAATAAAATCTCGGCGCTCTTCGCCGAATCGATTCCCTTTCTCTTACATCTTCAGGTAATATACCATGTAAGACGTAGTCAATAATAGGAAAACGCCAATCTCGAACTTCGGGTTCAACTCCAGTTGAGTATACCTCTTTAGCATTCGAATCGTAGATTGGAACAATAAGCTGATGAGTCCTCACTGTAATTAATTGCTCTGTTTCGGGAGGTTGAGCCAAGGATACTGACAATGCTGCCAATGCATCCGCGTATGTATTTTGGAGACGCGGAACGTACTCGATGAAAAATTCTTCAAACGAGCTTGCTATTTCGATGGCCACCTGGTGGTATGGAATCAGGTCTCGATTTCTGACTTCATACTCTCCTCGTATTTGATTAACCACCAGTTGAGAATCTCCAAAAGCTTCAAGGTATTCGACCCCCAGCTCTTTGGCGAAATTAAGTCCGATTATTAATGCATTGTATTCAG